AGGTCACTGGGAGTGTCCCTTTCAAGGGAACTATGGAGCCACACTCTTTTTCTCTTTTTACTTGCTTACTATGAAGTGAGCAGCTCTGCTGTGTCGTATGTTCACACCATGACACGCTCTCCCGTTACAGTCCCAAAAGTGACCTGATGGGTGACCTGATCATGGACTGAAGTCTCCACAGTTGCCAGACAAACCTATATTTCTAAGTTAATTGTATCAGATGTCTTGTTACAGTGATGGGAAGTTGGCTGATGCACCCATCCTATTCTCAGACACAACTGGAAAGCTTTCAGAGCCCGTGTCACAACAGGTGCAGAAGCAGAGAGACCTGCGCAGAGTTATCTCTCAATAATATGTACTCCTGTTTCTTCACTCTTTGATTCTGGTAAATTATTGAATAAATGAGTGCTTCTAATCAACACAGGCTGGGCCCAAAATCTCTTCATTTTTGACAAATCATTTAAAGCTTCTCTCTCTTTTCTTTACTCTTTGAAGTGCTGGAGGCCGGGTCCGAAGCCTCACACATGGTAGGCAAGCTGTCTATCAGTGAGCTACATTTTCAGTCCCTGAAGTTACTCTTAAAGGACTCAAGCATCAAGATGAGGCCAAATTGTAGTACTGGCTTCAACCATGGCCCCAAATCCTAGACCAGGCTCAATAAATCTCAGAAACTATTGTTGTCATGAAAGTTGTATGTTGACCTTTGGAAGGCCTGAGGCATCAATCCAAATGCAGAGAGAGAATGATTGTATAGTCTGTGGCTCAGCCCACAAGCATGAATTCTAGAGCAATTAGGCCACTCATAATATCCCAGGGCAGTAGATTAAGGCTGGCCTAACCACCTCCTAAGGTTAATTAATATACAGATTAGTTTGTGAAAGTCAGGGACAAACTGAGTACCCCTTTTCTACCCCAATTGCAAAGAAAACTCTATGATGTGTGCATGAATAGTAAGTCAGTCATCCTCTGGAAGGTATCAGTGGGTCGTTAAGAACAGCTCCACTTGAGGGAGATCTCTGTATTCTTAGGGCTGCATGACCTCCTGGTACAGTATGCATGCTAGGCAGAATTGCATCTCCAAGCTTACAAATAATACAAATAATTCACAACTTAAAGAAAATGATCAAATATGAGAGGTCAGCCTGGATGTCCATAACACCTGAAAGACCACCAGGGTCGAGGGAGGTACTTATAGTCTTAGAGGGACCCTGACAAAGTCAGGTAGGATTACTGTTTGTGTTTCTGTGTATAGCCAAAGAAAACTCACTGTCACTAACCACTACATGCCTCACATTTTCAAAGGAAAATTGTCAGAATGTGTACAGAGTACAGCCACAGATTATGTTTCCAATGAATCCAGACCTACCCAAACCCAGCACAGTGCATCGTTTTATTGCCTGGCCTTTCATTTGCTGCATGTTTCCTTTATTTGTTTTCTTTTACTTTTTTCTTTCAGTACTAGGAAATTGAACCCAGGGCTTTCCCTTTATTAACTTTTTATTTTTTGGATTGGAACTTATAGTTCTCCAGCTTAAGCCTCCCAGAGTACTGGCCACTTGCCCAGCTTGATTCTCCTATTCTGGAAATCCCACTGCAAATCCTACTCCTTGCCCAAGGATCATGAACTAACTATAGCACTATCAAAGGCCAATGTGAGTCACTAAAATTATTTCATTTTGAGGGGCAGCAATGTGCCAGGCATGGTTCCAAGTGCTAGTGATAACATAGTGAACAAAGTGGCAAAGATTTGCCCTCTTGGAGCCCATAGTCAGAGGACTTATTTTTTTATTTATTTTTTTGTAATGGTACTGGGGATTGAATGCAAGTCTTTGTGCATGCATGAACTATAACCCTAGGATCCACTGAACTTTTATGTTTACTCTTCGTTCCATTTATTTGGTAGCTCTCTTTTAAATTTTTTTCCATTCTGTATGTATACAGTATTATGGAATTAAGGAGAAGTCCTTTTCTTATGAATAGGCTTTTTATGACTGTTGTTTTGAATTTCAGTTTTATCTTGGAGGGTATCTCAGGTGATCACCTAGGCGATGGTTCTCCTGAAAGTGCCCCAGGAGTGCTGGTTCATCCTGTTAAACACAGATGATAGAAGGCCATTGTTTTGGACTGAGGTCCCACACTAGGCATTAAAGGATCTGGCTGAATATAAACTGGAGTCATTCACGCTCAGGTTCCAGTCAGGAAGCTGGAACTAAGCCGTTTACCTGCCCTTCTGAGAAATTAGAATGAGAGAGGTAATAGCCAAATTCTCCAAATAGGCAAGTTTCATTTGGCAAGATAATAAAGTTACCACTGATACAAGTAACTGCAAGTGACTTGACCTTAGCCAGTCTTTTTTTAATTGCTCTGTCTCCTTGTCTTAGTTTATAAGAAAAATAACTTTGACATCACCAATCCACGTTTTGTTTTTCTGTTTCTGCTTTCCTCAGTTCCTGCTTGTCCAGATAACCAATCTCTTCTTCTTAACTCACTGCAACACGTATTATATTTTATGGAATGAAGCGTTTCTTGATCCTACAAGAAACTGGCTTTAAAAAGCCAATTAAGATTTTTAAGCAGGGCATGGTTATGCTTTCCTGAAGTCCTAGTGCTGTGGGAGATCGAGGTTGAAGGATTGCAAGTTTGAACCCAACCTGGGCAACTAAATGACTTAGTGAAAACTTGCCTCAAAATTAAAAAAGAATACAAAATTTAAAAGAAGGTTAGAGATATATCTCAGTGCAAAGTCCCTGAATTTAATTTTCGGTATTAATGAGAGAGAGAGAGAGAGAGAGAGAGAGAGAGAGAGAGAGAGAGACTCAGAAGTTATTGTCCCACAGGACACTGGGAAATCCTTTTAGTTATGGACTCTCCCTGGCAGGCTCATCAGTGGCTGTGACTCATTCACTACAGTGGTTAAGAAGTTGTATAAATTAAGAGAATTGCAGCACTTACACTTCCATGATATAATCAAGGGTATTGTTGCTATTGAAATCTTGTGGGTTTCTAATTTAGGACTCAGCTAACTCAACATTAGTGTCAAGGTAATGGTATTAAAATGCAACAAATAATTCATGAGTACTTCTTTAACTGAATAGTGATTAATAAAACAGCCAGCATCTGCTAATTACTTTTACTTATAAGGAATAATAGAGAGATTACCATGTAGGTAAAAGACTCCTGAAGAAGCTGATGATTTATATACTGAATTACATCTTGATTGTTGGCTGAGGCATAAATTTCAATTTGTGGTTAGCGATAAGATTCTGATATTTACTTTCTTTTTTCTCTTCTTTGGCAAGTTCACAAGACAAACAGTAATAGAATGAGCCCATTGTTTTTATTCCATATTTATAGAACCATAAAACCTAAGTTTTCTTTACTGGACAGATGGTAAAGATAAAATAGATAAATGTGGGATAAAGTTAAAATGACCCACATTTTTTTAAAAAGGCTACAAAATCAGAATTGTCTGTTTGAAGAAAGTTTGTTTTTATAACCAACATATTGTGTTGTCTGGGTCAGAGATTGATGAGGGCTGTGCTCAGAATGGGAAACGCAGGAAGCTCAAAGCTGGTAAAGCTTGTTCTACCTCTTCATCCTGTTGCTTTGCAGACCATTTCAAATAAAGCCCTGCCCTGAGACTCAGGTGACAGAAATGGGATCTACACATTCTTCTTCACTCCAAGCCCCTCCACATGGTGTGCCCACCATCCTCCTGCAGCTAGCCATACTCCTGGGGACAGCTTGCCCCCAAGAGTAGGCAGGCCCAATAGGATGTGCGCGTCTTCCGCAGTGCCCCACTCTTACACATAGCACCTCGGCCATGGAAGATCATCACACTGGCCTGGAGCAACCAGTAACTGGTGCAGGATTACAAAAAAGTCAGCAAATGGCGAAAGGAAAAATGCCATGCCTCATCTTCCATCCTGCAAGGCAGGGCCAGCCTTGAGGCCACACAGGACACTCTGGTCACTTTGTAAAATCTTCAACTCTTGTAGGCAGCTGGAATCGATGAACTTCACAGTGCCTTGATTTTTTTTTTGGGGGGGGGGTTGGTACCACAAATTGAACTCATGACCTTGTGCTTGCCAAGTAGGTGCCACGCAGCTGAGCTATATCCCCAACACTCAGTGCCTTGAGAAGACATAATAGGAGTGGGACAGGACAAAGAACAGATAGGTTTCCGCTTCATGGGAGCAGGGCCCACATTTCTTTTTATTTCTTTGTATCTCACAAGGATACTTGGTTTGATCACTATATGGCAAAGTTTTAAAACTTTAAAATATATTATAACTGGGGAGGTAGCTCAGTAGAATAAGCGCTTGCCTGGCAATATATATAATAAAATATATTATAGTAAAAGACATACTGCTATTAATCCACCTCAAAATACTGCCCTCACTTCAAACACACCTATCCCATCATTCTTGTCACTTTCTGCATCAGCTCTGAAAGTTCTCATTTGTGAATGTCTTTATAATGCATGATTAAAAATACAGTGAATGCTGCTGCCACATGCCATCTGATAAAAAGGTGCACATGCAAAAACATTATGCAGTGTCCCACTCACCATATTCACTGAATCTGGCCATATGTGACTTCTGGTGTTCCCTTTGATGATGAAAGATATATGTATAAAATTGATTCAGGCTATCAAAGCAAACAGGACAGTTGGACTAAAGACAGTTATGAAAGAGGACTTCTTTGTCTGCCGCCACCTTTCTCCAACTGGTGGGAGCCTCTTTGTGCTCTCGTTGCCTCAGGCCTGCCGTCTTTTAGAGACCAAACCTCATGCCGTCAATTAAGTTGCAGAGTTCTTTTTTTAATTTATTTTTTATTTGTGTGTGTGTGTGTGTGTGTGTGTGTGTGTGTGTGTGGCCAGCTCAGCCCACCAGGGGGCACGGCTGGCTGGCATGTGGGGCTGGGGGATTGAACCGCGGTCCCCGTGCTTTGCTAAGCTTGTTCCAAGTAGGTGCTTTAGACCACTGAGCCATCTCACCAGCCCCAAGATGCAGAGTTCTGATGGAGAGATATTTGAAGTTGATGTTGAAATTGCTAAACAGTCTGTGACAATCAAGACCATGTTGGAAGATTTGGGAATGGATGATGAAGGAGATGATGACCCAGTTCCTCTACCAAATGTTAATGCAGCAATATTAAAAAAAGGTCATTCAGTGGTGTACCCACCACAAGGATGACCCTCCTGCTCCTGAGGATGATGAGAACAAAGAAAAGCAAACAGATGACATCCCTGTTTAGGACCCAGAATTCCTGAAAGTTGACCAAGGAACGCTTTTTGAACTTATTCTGGCAGCAAACTACCTAGGCATCAAAGGCTTGCTTGATGTTACATGCAAGACTTTGCCAATATGATCAAGGGGAAAACTCCTGAGGAGATTTGCAAGACTTTTAATACCAAAAATGACTTTACTGAAGAGGAGGAAGCCCAGGTACGCAAGGAGAACCAGTGGTGTGAAGAGAAGTGAAATGTTGTGCCTGACACTAACACTATAAGGATTGTTCCAAATACTAGTTGCACTGCTCTGTTTATAATTGTTAATATTAGACAAACAATAGACAAATGCAGCAGCAAAACAATTGTATTAGCATAATATTGTCTTCATTGCATGTGTAGTTTGAATTACAGATTCCAAACCAATGGCTGAATTTCTTCTAGTCTGAGCAAAAGTTGCTGGTTTTCTTTCCTCTGAATAAAACTGAACTGTGGGTTCTCTGTAGAAAGTTGAAAAAAAAAGTAGCAAGAATGATGGGATAGGTTTAAAGTAGAGAGAGGATTTTGAGAGGAGTAATCAATAGCAATGTGTCTTTTACTAAAAATGTTTAAATGTAGCTATCTACTATGTGTTTTTGTTTTTTATCATATAGTATAAACCCAGGTCCTGGAACCTGTACAAAGTAAATTAGGCTCGTAACTGATGACTAGAGTTTCTCCTGTCAGCTCTAAAAGTACAACTGAACACTACTGAAGTGGAGAAGCAAAAGGACCCAAAGAGAAGGCCACCAAAACACTCTTTAACAAGGCCCAAATGCACAGGTGCCCTGCCCTCCTCTTACTGAACCACTGTAAACCTCTTGAATTAATCCAGTGAAGACTCATTCAATCAGATGCAAGACAACAAACGAATGTGTGATTATGCACAGAGCTCAGAAGACCAGAATACTGATAGGAATGCAGACAATAAAGGCCAGGCTCCTGAGGTTTCAGATAGAAATGGAGAAAATTTGACCAGACGTCTTCTATTTGCCTACAGCCTAAGACACATATAACTCTGAATTCAACCTCTTAATAGTTTGTCCTGAGGGTCACTCAGGCAGCACATTTGTTTACATACTAACTATCCTGAGCATCACTTAGGCAGGCTTAATGTAACCAGGCAATTCTTGTATTGAATGTATTTGATAAAATTGTCATTTTAATAGTTTATGTTATACTAATCTTATAAAAATTAATTTTAAAATATGCAATTTTTCATTACTTTTTATTTAAATAATTGGACTTGTGAGTGGTTAAAGGCATGCAAGAATTTTAACTTGTTGGAGGAAATTTCAGAGCAGCCCAAAGTTCAGGCTGTGGCATGGATACTACTGGCTAGTTATTATCTAGATGAACAATGAATATCAGAAACAAAAAGTACATGTCAAATGTCTGTAGTTTCATTGGAAACGAAACACTGCAAAGTTGGGGCCCAGTAAAGCATAGTTGAAGAAAAGAATTGCATTATTAAAAAAACTGAGTACTTTGTATCAGGACAATAGGAAAGACAACTTGGAAGTCTCTTCCCACCTTTCCCAGGATCAAGGGTTGGTCTCACCAAAAATTAACCACATTGGCACTCTGATCTTAGAATTTCAGCCTTCAGTCCTGAGAGAATAAGACTCTATTTTGTGAGCCAGCCAATCTGATGTGCCTTGTTATGACAGCCTTCGCAGATGATACACTAATAGAACTTTCTTTCAGATTTTTTAGAATTTTGTACTGTTTTTTGTATGCTCTACTCCCTGCATGTGGGGTCCAACATTCCTCTTTCTAGGTGCCCCTTATATATTGGCTAGAGAAGCCACAGTCACTAGGAATGTTGGATCTTGCTATGGCTTATATCTAGATGTCCCCCAAAGTCTCATGCAGTCACAGGTGGGGCTGTTCAGAGGTGGCTGGATCTAGGGTGTATGCTTCTGTGATCGAGAAAGTGATACTGGGCCTGGTTTGCGATGTACTGCTAGGATTAAAGGTGTAATAAAATGTAATAGGCACAAGTCAGGCTGTAGTGGTCATTGCCTCTCATTTCTAGCTCATGCTTGTTACCTTCTCCCTTCTGTGAACAGTTTCTCCTCTACAATGCCACTCTGCCTTGGAGTCAGTCAACTATGACCTGAAAACTACAAACTGAGCTGTATAAATCTTTTTTCCTTAACGTTGGGTGTTGGTTTTTTTGTCTCAGCAATGAGAAAAGTAACTAATACAGACCTAGATAGCATGTCAGTAAACATCTGATTCAGTATCCTCAGCTATTAAGAATTAATAAGAAACCAGCCCCAGGCAGACAGACACATACAGACATACACACCAAACATTATTATTCAGCTGGATTACACTAGTGGTTTCTTGATTCTCAAAGCTAAATGCCAGCTCCCTATAAAATGGTGCTCAAAGTAGCCAGCTCTCTGCAGCTTCCACCTTCAGCCCCAAGACACCCTTATACCTCAGCTCATGCTAAGCTCACAGCAGACAGTCATGATTCAATTCCTACCTCTCCTGCTTTAGTCATTACCTCCTAGCTCTTAGCAGTCTCACACTCATCTTCATTCAGAATAAAACTTACCACTTACTGGGAACCTTCCAGATGTTTGTTATCCCTACAGCAATCTACTTATGCCAATTTCTTAGCTACTTATTTGACATAGTCTCTCTCTCTCTCTCTCTCTCTCTCTCTCTCTCTCTCTCTCTCTCTCTCT